AAAAAAGAAGTCTGATGAGGAGATGTGGTGATCTCCGAAATAGTGCTATAACTTCTACCGCTTAGACTTTGTTGCTTTTTCAATTTTTCCTAATAAACAATCGTGGTACAAAGCTCAATAAAAATAAAATGTTAACAAGCCACAATAACATTGACAAATATTATTTTTTAATTTTACAGAATTTTTCCTTTTAATTGACACCCATATTGTTACTCTAGTAGAGTAACTCTACCAAGCACCAAATCTTTTAAATAATTTTTTTCTTCAATCATATCCCAGAAATTTTTAAGTCCTGACGTCAGAGAGAAAATTTAAAAACGCAGTTATACTATATTTGACTCCTAGTTTTGTGAATATATTGATCTTTTCGTATTTTAAAATTTTTGGTTTTTGTCGCACGGTGTAATATAACGAAGTATTTCAAAATTTAAATTTTGTGGGAAAACGCAATCAAAGTTTTATCAACTCATACAGTTGGTATAGAAAAATACAAATGGAAAGGGACATATCTTCGCCATATTTTGGAAGTTTAAGTATCTGTTAGACTGAACATATTCTACTTATCAAGCTAATTAATTGCATAACGAAATCTCCAATAACGTGAATTTTGAGCTACATCTCTATATTACTAAGCGTGCGAGATGTTTCACTTATTATTGGATTTTTTCCAAAAACTTTGAAAATAACCTTTTTTAAAAGATTTGTATTTTAAAAGTTATAACTGGTCGGGTCCCCGATGTTAAAGTGCACGCAATTGTTAGCTGTCGAAAAGTTGCAAACACGATTTTTACATCCCTATTACGGGTGCAACCAATGTGAGTAAACGTTTATTTCAATGTCGCTAAAATTATACAATTAAATATTATTGAGATTTTATTTGGCTTCTCATTACTTCTCCACGGTTTCAGCAAATTAACATTTTATAATCTGTGAAATATACAAACTTTTATATCTTTTGTATCGCGGGTGCAACAAGCTAAAAATGTCTACTTGAAGTCAATAATACAGAAGAAATAACAAGTACTTACATATTTGGGCGTATAAGATTAAACCATAACGATTATAAGAAATAAAATTAAATATTGCTCTATAATTATTAATGGCCAATGGAAAATTTTTACCATAATTATATGGGACTTTTATTTTTTCGTCTCGCGGGACGTTTATTTTAAGACGGAAATGATTTACGTCTTCTCATAATAATTATATGGGATTTTTATATTTTTTCGTCTCTCGGAACGTTTATTTCAAGACGAAAATGATTTACGTCTTCCCATACTAATTATATGGGATTTTTATTTATTTTTTCGTCTCTCGGGACGTTTATTTCAAGACGAATATGATTTACGTGTTCTCATAATAATTATATGGGATTTTTATTTTTTTCGTCGCGGGACGTTTATTTCGAGACGGAAATGATTTACGTCTTCTCTTAACAATTATAGGGGGCATTTATTGAAATAAAACTTCTTAATTGAGTTCAGAGATCTGACGCGTTAAATATGTAACGCCACGATTTTTCATGTCATTAAATCTGTATCGTTAGTTCAGTTTTCAAAAATGATGTGTCAAATTAAAGGGCTTTGCTTTTCAAATTCCAATAATCGAGCTCGGAGATATTTGGGTTTAATTTGAAATCGGCAGTACATGTACCGATTCTATTAAGAGAAAACGTGGGACGTAAAAATCCCATATAATTATTATGAAAATACGTAAATAATAATAATAAATAAACGTTTCGCGAGATGAAAAAATAAAATAAAAGTCCCACATAATTATTATGAGAAGACGTAAATCATTTCCGTCTTGTAATAAACGTCCCTCGAGATGAAAAAAATATTTCTCGTGAATATTTATTATGCAAAGGCGAAAAAAATCTCTTAAAACAAGGCGACGTTGTTGGTCTCAAATATTAGGATAATAATTATTTTGGGTCTCTGGATTAAACTAATATTGTCACTGTCGAGATAGATCGCTTGAAGTTGCTTTTGTTAAAGTTGTTTCTTAGATTAGCAGGGATGGAATTCCATAAACTATAGCGTTAACGAAGAACCGTCTCGTTGATGATATTGAGTTAAAAAGAGGGACAATGAGATCAGTTACCTCTGCAGATTTGGTAAATACTGAATTTCAGTGCGATGAGCTTGTACAAAAATATGCAAAAGATGTCTGATTTTTAAAATCGGATCAAAAATAATCAAGCCTGTTGATAGATAAGTGAATCAAATACGAAAATAACGTATTTTTTTATGGACTACTAAAAACTGCACTAAGTTTTATTTCGGGTGTATTTCGTGTTTTTTTTTTGCAGCACTGTAATTTATTACCATTTTCAGAGTACGTCTGCCTCCACGAAAAAATTCAAAACGAGTCCAACTTAAAGGAATATTTGTTGGAGCCAAAGTTGTTCGTGGTCCTGATTGGGAGTGGGGCCAGCAGGACGGTGGCGAAGGTGTGTTTCAACTCATGAACCCATTTTATGTTTCCATGTTTTTTAATATTCCCCGTTTTTAGGCAAAACTGGGCGTGTTATGGAAATTCGCGGTTGGGACAATGAGTCTTGTAGAAGCGTAGCTAATGTTTCTTGGGTAACGGGTTCTACAAACGTCTATCGTTTAGGTCATAAAGGTAACGTTGATTTAAAGTGTACTGTACCGTCGATAGGAGGATACTATTACAAAGACCACATGCCTGTTTTAGGTAAGCCGCTTCAGCACATATTTTTTGCAAGCAAGTTTAAGAAATCATTCTTATTTTCTATCTTTCCAAGGTCAACTGGAAGAGCAACAACCCGTTGTACCCACTGTGAAGCCAACATTCTCAGTTGGGGATCGGGTAAAGGTGTGTCTTGATGTTGACGCACTAATGAAACTGCAGCAAGGGCACGGTGGATGGAACCCCCGAATGGTGGAACAGTTACCTAAATTGGGTACCGTCCATCGCATTACCGAGAAGGGCGACATACGGTACGTAACTGACATGAACAGTATCCCTGAATTTCTAAATGTAAAAATACAAAGCACCAGTATTTTTCATTTCTGAACCATAGCAGGTTTAGCTGTCCAATTACCACAACCACGCCCAGATGCTCATTTCAAGTAAGATTACGCAAGCAGGACATTTTAATCTGCAATACTTTAGGATTAAATGAGTCCAATGCTTTGTATTTTTACATTTTGGAACTCAGGGTATTTTCAGTAATTAACGGAGAAAATTATAATATATATAGGGTTCAGTACGATAATTGTCCTAATCGTTGGACCTTTCATCCGGCTGCTCTTGTAAAGGTTATGTCATTTCGCGTTGGCGATCTGGTGACTATAATAAACGATGCGAACAAGGTTCAGCAACTGCAAAAAGGGCATGGTGAATGGATTGACCTTATGCGTTATGTAAGTATAAACATGTGTATCGTAAAACTGAGAACTATTTTTGGCCAAAACATAAATAAAGCTTTAATAATAATGTTCAAAGTAAAATAATTGGATTTTTGACCAAAAAGAAAAATGCAAACTTTTGCCATTGTATTGAGCTGAAGCCAAGTGTTCTTGGAATGGATACTAACATTTAGGATGCGATCCTGAAATGACTGTTTCTTTGTGTACGAAATAACGCTACCACCAGTATTCTCAAAATTGTGATGATTTCATAACCCAATGAGTCCTGAAAATTAATGTTTACTTTCTTTACGATTAGCCTTACAGTATATAAAAATAATTTGCCACCATTCCAAAAATTGCTCAATCCCAATATTAAACTATTTTGGCTACATTACATTAATACTTAACTTAGCGTTTATGTCGAAATGCAATCCAAATGAAAAATTCCATCTAAGTTCCACTGTTTTAGTCATACAGTGACGAGCAAAACCGTAACATGATGTAACACCTTTTATTTCAGCCACCGCTATCTTTCAAAGTTCTAACGACTTTCATACTTTTGTTGTATATTCTTATTGGTACACCCCTTCTCCCGCTCTCATAACGATTTGAAGTCAATCCAAGAACAATAAAAAAACCTGGAGACAAAAATGTAAGTTAAGGCAAATGTTACAGTTTTGCACTCACTCTCAGTTTTGCATTTTACAGTTATCCTTTGCTTAGTTGGAAGTCAGATGACTTTTTTCTATATTGTAATTTATTCAAGAAGTGATAACCAATAAATAATATGGTTAATCAGGAAACATAAAAGTAAATGATAGATTTACTGCGGACAGGCGGGACCGCAGGGAAAGTGACAAAAATTGCGGAGTTTGCCACATGAAAATGTTAAGGCTGAGAAAAAATATATTAATAATATATATATATATATATATATATATATATATAGTGTTACTAAGGACAAAGGAAGTCTGTCAAAATATATTACAGTCCGATATCTTGTGAACTTAGTAGCAAGTAGCACTGCAGCCACTGTTACAGAAGCGCTTAAGGTATTAAAATGGAATGCAAATCAGTAGACAGCGAGGCGGAAAATTTCCAAATTGAGCGCAATGGATCACAAAAGAAGAAAAAAGCAATTTTCATCAAAATACATGTGCGAGAGTGGTAGCATTTTGCCGGATCGCACGAAAACCGGACCGTTGTCTATTGGGATATGTTAGGCCTTACGGAATGCAATAAAAAACACATTTTTAAGATTTAGTTGAGGGTTTTTTGGATTGACAAGACTATATTAATCGCTTTCAATTAGATGGCCGGGCATGGTATTGGATCAAAGGCCCAAATTAAGCCTAAGCGCATCATGTAAGGCAAACTGTGAATCACAGTGGTCGGTCAATAATAGTTTGGGGTTGTATTTCAAAAATGTTGTTGATCCGTTTGTACGCATTATGCGTAAGGAACAGTATCTGTTCATATTTTAACAAAATTTGCAAGATGTAGTCGAAAAAATTAGAGTTTCTGCTGAAAAATCAACCAAAACACACTGCACATGTTCGCAAAGACTGGAACAAAAGCAGAAATTTGCTAATTTGAAATGACCTCCACAATCCGAGGACATGAATCTCATCGAGAATTTGCGAAATCAACTAAAAGCGCATCTTACTAAGTATCCAAGTCCGTCCAATGGAGTACATGAGCTGTGAAAGCAAACCAAGGATATATGGGAGGCTATACCTCCAGAATTTTTACAGAGATACAAATAAGGTATGCCAAATTGCAACCAGGAACTAAAAAAAGCAAAAGAATACTGAACATTGTGTTAATAATTATTTTTTTTCGTGAAAATTGTCAAAAAGTTATTAAAAATATATGTGTGCAAAACTGTAACATTTGCCTTAATTTACATTTTTGTCTGCTGGTTTTGTAAATGTTGTTGAATTGACTTCAAATCGTTATGACAGAGGAAGCAAAGATGTACCAATAAAAATATACAACAACCGTATGAATGTCGTTAAAACTTGGAAAGATAGCGACAGCTGAAATAAAAAGTGTTACTCCATGTTACAGTTTTGCTCGTCACTGTACCTAGTTTCCTGCTAAGTCAATAAAACTTATGTATTTTTGAGATAAAATCTCAAACAATAGGAAACTTTAATTTGTCATAATTAAAGAAGCGTTAATAACATTAATTATGAATTTTACTCTTTATATTAGTTTTCTTTTTTGGCAATGATCTTTCACTTTTATTTATTCTTTAGGCTTTGGGAAAACATTGCAAAGTTGTAAAGGTTTACTCGGATGGTGATTTGCGCATTCAACAACTCGATGATGGTTTCGAGTGGACATTAAATCCGAAATGCGTGCGTTTAGAGCGATCCCCATTGGCTACTGCAGCAGAACGTTCAAACAGTATGATGGACCTAAGTCATAGGCGCACAGATCATGTTATGACACCGTTATCAGGCCTATCTGGTACGTCAATGGCCGATAAGCTGGTTCGTGAGGCGGCCCAAGGTCATTTAGACTTTGTGAAGCAGTACTTAGATGCCCATCCAGAACAAGTGAATGTGATGAGTGGTGGCAAAGCTTGCATACAAGTGGCCGCTCATCAGGGCTATGTTGATCTTGTAAAATATCTCATTATCAAAGGCTCGAATGTGAATGTTGTGGACAAGGAGGGCGATTCGGCGCTTCACTATGCAGCTTTTGGTAATCAGCCCGAAACGATGCGTGTCCTACTGCAAAGCAGAGCTGATATCAATTTTCTAAATTCAAGCCATTGCTCAGCATTGCACATATGCGCACACAAGAAAACGCCACATTGCGTGCGAGAACTGCTTCAATTCGGCGCCGATGTGAATATTCAAGATTCCTACGGTGATACGGCGCTGCACGATGCCATTGGCAAGGAAAACACAGAAGTTGTCGAATTATTATGTAATGCACCGAATTTAGATTTCCTGATAAAAAACAATCGAGGTTTTAACGTACTGCACCATGCCTCGCTTAAGGGCAACGTGGTCGCAGCTAAACGCATACTGCAACTGGCTCGGCAACTAGTAAACGTTAAGAAAGATGATGGTTTTGCCGCGTTGCATTTGGCCGCCCTAAATGGTCACGCACACGTTGTCGAGACATTGATAATAGAGGGTCTGGCAGAAATTGATATACGAAATAACCGCCGTCAAACACCGTTTCTTTTAGCAGTTTCGCAAGGACACGCGTCCGTAATTGAGCGACTTGTAACTCTCGGTTGCGATATTATGGCTCGTGATGAAGATGGCGACAATGCAATGCACTTATGTGTAATTAAGAAAACTAATTTGCAACAAGCAGCTGAACCGTCCGGAGAAGACGCACCGGAGATACGAGCAATCTTCGATAATCTTTCCCACGTTCTAGACGATCGTCTCATGTATACAATCCTTTGTTATTTATCGTCGCGTGGTTGCCGCGTAGAGCAAAATAACAAAGGCACAAATATTTTCGAATGGATCACAAACAAGGATATGAAAGATTTAATTTTGGGCTACCAATGCCCAGTGAGATTGCAGACTGGTGTACCGCAGTCGTCGACAGCGATTAACGAAATCAACAATGCATCAGGCGATGTGGAGCGCAACATACAGGCCCTAAATTTAAACCCAGAAAGCGAAGTGGGCGGCACGGCTGGTGTGGCCGGCGCTGTTGCTGGGCCTAGTAACCACTCTGTTGATATCATTATAGATGCATTACAACCCAATAATTTTACGCAGATGGCTACACCCAACAGAAGCACTCCAACTCATCACATTGACCGCTCAACCGAAGAGCCAGCAGGACTAAAAAAACTCAACTCTGATCGGCAAGCACAGGTCAATGCATTAGGCAGTGGAAGTAATGCGCTGGACACTCAATATGTACATATGACTCCGATTCCTTCAACTTCCGGTGTTAATCAACCGACTGGTATTCGCAAAAAAGCGCCGAAACCACCTGCAGCCAGCGGTGAGCGAGGTTCACCGGAATGCGCTGCGGTTTCCAGACCGAGTCCGAAAGCTACACCTCCGCCACCGCCCCCAAACGTTCCTTTCCACAACGGCCCTCAGGAGTGTATAGTTTGCGACGAAAAGTTGCAACTTATTAAATTTGAGCCATGTCAACATCAGATTTCCTGTGAGGAATGTGGCTTGCGTATGAAAAAGTGCCTGCGCTGTGGTGTTCAAATCGAGCGACGCATAACTGCCGGTGGACGTTTGGTGGCCAGTTCTGACCAGACACGCATACCCTCCGCTGATCGTTTGAGGTATTTGGAAAATAAAATACAAGAGTATGAAGAGACGCACTATTGCAGCATCTGTATGGAACGGACACGTGACGTCGCATTTTTGTGTGGTCATGGTGCATGCTCACGATGTGCGGACACCTTGCGCACCTGCCACATGTGCCGTAAAACCATCCTAAGAAAGATCAATTTATATTAAGTGACACTCGATTCTTCAAAAAGCTACATTACCACGACCCAACAAAGGTAGTAATTCTTTAAAAGCACGGTGTGCCTGAACCAGCCGTAAATGAAAGGTTCTTGCATATGGGTTTTTTGGCGTGATTCTGTTATACGATGAAATTAGAAACTGTTTGAAAAAAATTGAACGGGCCCTTTTCGAAAAACCCCCTTTTTCTTAATTATATTAATTTATATTACACCCCGCGACAAACGATAGCACATCAATATTTTTACCAGTTTTGTCTACTTTTCTTTTGATCTTTTTAAGGTTAATTATTTTTATATAAAAGTATAGCTTTTTATCTAACAAATATCAGCAAAGAAAAATTATCAAAAATCAGCGCGATTTTTTAGAATTTAATAAGCTATAAAACTGCATACGAAAAATTATTCTAGAAATTAAAATGCATGGAATTGGGATGAAAAGTTTGTGTAATTTTTATAATTTTTAAACAAAGTCTGAAATTATCAAGATAAAAACTTTTGCCTGTGAAGACAGCAAGTTATGGGCAGTAGCGCCGGCGTCGCCGCCGATTATTTTTGAACATGACCACGCCGCCGCCGCACAGCCTGTTGGCGTAAACCAATATACCGCATAATTTAGACCACGTGAACCGATTTCAATAATTCTTTTTTTTTTATCGGAAAGATGATACCTCAAAGGTCGTCCCGTAATTTGGTTTAGATCCGATCATTGGATCATGCAGAAATTAACGGTACTCCTATATTTGTATATGAGACTTGAAGTCGGTTGTGTTTTTGCTTAAAAATTATTTGTTTAATAAAAAGTTTTATAAACACCAGATGCGCTCAACTTTCACAAGAAATACAAAATTTTAAAAAAGAATTTTAGTAAAAATAAATTAATTAATTCCCTGAAATTTTTACACTTATGTTAATTTTTCTTGATCTCTGGTTTTTCACGATTGCTTAATTTTTTTAATATTTCGAATACCGAAAAAATTAACTGAGCTTGTATTTTTATTATGTTGCTCATTGTGGTGGAACGAACTCGAAGTTAGCAATTTGACTTAAACTGTGCTTATGACATTTTCTTATAAATTGAAGATACCATATTCTTTAAAGAAATTATAAAGTGGTTTTTTACTTAAAAAAAAAAAAATATTTCAAAAATATATTTTGAACATCATTTTAACGCGGACTTTTAGTGATTTATGTATTTCCAAAATTGAATGCAAACCGGAAGGCAAGTAAAATATGGAATTATATTCATCATTATTTAGTGCGATTAGCTGCATATTTCGGGAAGACCATGTGCATGGTAACTTCACAAAGGCGTTGCTTGTTTGTTCCAATCTCTTTTCGGCAGAAATTATCAGCCTCGGGACTGATGTACCGAATCTAAGCGCGTATTCGTTTCTAAAAAAAATGTTGCCTCTTCATGGCCTTCGCCTTAGTATTTGTAGTAAGAGGTCAATGAGAAGGTAACATTTTGCGGTAGAAAAGAAAACGCCATAACAAGCGAAACGCGACACCAGCAGCGGTAGGGCGAGTAGTTTATCTGTCTATAAACTATAACAAGGAGCTCTAAGAATTAGGCAATTTTTTACCTCCCTCTGCATGACTACATCATGCGTTATCACAACTAATTGTATGCTTCCATGGTGCTTTCCTTAACGATAAGCTACTTTTTATCCTTTCCATTCATATTTCCACTAAAGAGGATCCAAATTAAAGCAACATCTAATATCTTAATTTCTTGGAGTCAGATATAATATGTAATATTTCATGTAACACTGCAGATAATGCCACATTTGAACCCCAAAACCACCCCTTGTGTGCGCTAATGGTATGGTACTACCTGTGAGGTAACACCTTTCCTTCAAAAAAAGAATTATAGAAATCGGCAAACGTGGTCCAAAGTTATGCGGTAACATACATAAAAAAAAAAATATTCCGACGAATTGATAACCTTCTCCTTTTTTAAAGTCGGTTAATAAGTTGATATAATTAAGTAAGATGGGGTTTTTTTCGAAAAGGTCCCGTCCGATTCTTTGGATATTGGATTCAAATAGTTTTTAATTTTAACGTCTAACATAATCAGGTAAAAAACTCATATGTAAGAACCTTTCATTTACGGCTGGTTCAGGCACACCGTGAAAGTTTGTAAATTGTAAATAAGAAAATCTTAAGAAGCAGAAAGACCAGTCATGTCTTTAGCACAGATAGCAACAGCTTAAATTTTTTCTGTTGGGAGTAATAAAAGCCAATTTTTAGGTGAAGATTATATGGTGAAAATTTTAAATTCGATTACGTTTACACCTATGTTTAAAAATTTGGCAGGGAGGATTACTTATTTCGAGCATAAAAATGGGTAGTTATATGTATTTACAAGAAGCGAGTATGCATTTGGAATATTTGTGGATATTGTAATTTATTAACATAAAGTATTTGATTCGCTAGCATAAAGGATTCAAATTTGCAGTAATTAATAATAGACAATTAAAAAATTCACTCATAAAAATATTTCATACATAAATAAACCAAACGACCAAATATTCGTTAAGAATATTATAAATACAACAAAAAACACAGAACAATCTTGTGAAAATATTAATGCAGCTTATAAAATAGTGTCCACGCATACCAACATTAAATGTATTATAAATAAATGTTGAACGAAATAATACGACCTGTAATTTTATATAAATTTGAGCCGATTCAAGTAGTAGAAATTCTGAATAATTTGTGTGTTGTTATTGTTTATATACTTGTAATGAAAACGTTGCACATTTATGTAACCTCAATAATTATTTATTTATTAATTTTCAATATTGTTATTGAGCTTTGTACCACGTTTATGTTCTTTAGGAAAAATGAAATAAGTAAGTAAAAGTAAAAGTAAGTTTAAGCGGTAGAAGTTATAGCTGCTATTTACATATATTTTTTATGTCTTTGTACAAAAGTTAAAAACATTTCAACAAATTTTCATTAAAATTTTAAATTTACATATTAAGCTAAGTTCCAGCTCTCAAGAAAAATCACAAGAAATAATTTCATTATTCTGTTCAAATAATATAAGTATACGAGCAATTTCTTGGGTCTGCAGCCTAATTCCAACTTTCGCCATCTCTAGTTATGATCGCCAAACATATCCAAAAGAATAGCAGCCGGGCCTAACGACATGCTACATCTAGTTAACAGCTCCTCATACTGCCAGATTTGGCTGATTATACACTTTTCTATGGTGTATACCTTTAGGTCCCACTGATTTCTATATAGAGATTTCTTGCGATGGAAATTTAGCGAAACGATAGCTAGAATTCCACTGCAGGAATCTGGGCTCGAATCGTCACATACGATCACGGATCGAAAATCATATGAGAGAAAATTACGTGATACGTCGGTCGTATGAACTTGATTCGGATTGTCACATACGATAGTAAACGGATCGTAATTAATTTTTGGTTCACAATAGATTTTGAGTTCCACACTACTTTGAAACGTATTTTGAAGTTCACAATATAAATGGAAATGTCAAAATTCTTGAAAAAAATCACAAAACACAGTAAAATTTAAAAAATGGATCCAATTTTGTTTTTCGACTTGAGTTCTAGTGAAAGTGAGGACGATGAAAAAGTTGTACGCAGACAGCTTAGAGATAGGAGCAATACTTTTGGCTTGTCGAACACAGCGTAAGTAAATAAAAAATTTAGTTTTTTAAAAGGTTTATGAATGTTTTTATTGTAGATTCTTGAAACGGTTTCGACTGACGAAAGAAGCCTTCGAATACGTGCTTCATGCCTTGAATTTAAAGCAGTCTGATGCAAAGGCGGTGCCTCCAGTACTACGGTTGGCTGCCACACTTTCTCTGCTGGCGAGCGGTGGATATCAACATTGCATCGGCAGTGGCTATTTAGTTGGTATGTGCTAAAGCACTGTGTCGAAACTGACATTGCGCGTTCTCCTCGAAATGGAGGATAAGTTGTGCCCACAGCATATACGGTTTGCACCAGAGGATTCGTCGGGATGCAAGAAATGGTTTGTGGAAAAATACAAAATTCTTGGAGGTGAATACAAATATATTTAGACTTTAAGATTAAGATTGTTAATATAATACCTAACTTTCAGTTATTGGTTGCGTTGTTGGCACGCATATTGGCTTACAAAAACCCTCAGTGGACGAGCATACATATGTATTTCAACCGAAAAGGATACCATAGTATCAACGCTATGATAGTAAGTGGCTTTTTTATAGTCAGATAAACCGAATACTTAAATATTCATACATATAAAATTTTAGCAATCAACTGCCAGTGCGGTGACGCGGCACACGATTCCTTCGTTTGGAGGCATTCAGATCAAAAACGAGTCTTGCAAGACCGATTTGAACGTAACAGACAGGAGAATTCATGGCTTTTGGGTATGTTTGCAAATATCCATTGTTTTGTATTGTTTTATTAAGTATTTTAACATTTTCCAACAGGAGATTCCGGCTATCCACTTCAGCCGTGGTGTATAACTCCTTACAGAAACCCTTCGGATGGTTCAAGCGAATGCGTTTTTAACGAAATTCACTCTAAGGCAAGGTCTATCATAGAGAGCATTTTAAAAGGACGCTGGAGAATTTTAGGTTAAGCAAAAGAGGAAGATACCATCAAACAAAAGTAGCGAGATTTGCTAATGTGTGTGCAGCGTTACACAACATCTGCATACAATTTAAAATTAATTAAGATTGCCGAAATTATGAATCTGACCAAACAACCGAAGTTGATCCAGGTGAAGCAAATAATCGCACTATTTATTATTGCTTCGTATCGTCTGGATACGAGATCAAATAAAGCATTCACTTTTAAGTTTCACCTAAAAATTAAGTCTGTATATATTTGACCATATACTAAATGAAATAACACTTTACTTTTATAAGCGAATAAGTTTATTTTTTTATTTAAATGAATTCACACTCAGAAATATGTAGAAATAAGTAAAATAAAAGGAAAATTCGTTGTGTTACTTAAAACTAAGATATGAAATAAAAAAAATTCAGGTACACAAACAAAAAACTTCACATCTATACATATAATAAAGCCAAATCAACCATTTGTAGAATTTTTGTCTGTCTGTCTGTCTGTCTGTCTGTCTGTCTGTCTGTCTGTCTTTCGTTGTTGCTGCCAAAAAATTAAGAAATCTGAGACGTCACGTTTTACAATTTCATACAGTTCTCTTTACAATGTATTTCACTAAACTACTAAACGGCTGCACCGATTCTTATACAGACTAAAACGTAAAAAACCAATTACGCTGGGGAACTGAAACTTAGCACTGAT